ACAGACTAGTGGTTGCCAAGGATTAAGGAGGGGTGGGAAGAGGAGGGACAAGGATGTGAGAATAAAAAGTGGACATGAGTGGTCCTTGTGGAGGTAGAAATGTTCTGTATCTTGACTGCATCCATATCAATATCCTGATTGTGATACTATAGTTTTGCAATGTGTTGCCATTTGGGGAAAACTGGGTGAAGGGTACATGAGATCCTTCCGTATTATTTCTTACAAACTCATGTGAATCTGTAACTGTCTCAAAATAAATTTAAAAAATCAACCAGTAAAAAACAAAAAGATACATCAGTTGTGCTAATGTTGAGAAACACTGATCTAGAAGGAAAGCCAGATATAACAAATGAGGAAGCTAAGAAGGCCTGTGAACCCGGTTGGGAGGAAAATCAAGGAACGGTTCACAGAATTTATCACATTTATATTGAACCTTGAAGAAAAGGTTTCCAGGAGCAGAAGATAGGGGGAAATTTTTTTTGTTGTGAAGAATGGTCAAAGGATATAACATGGTGTCTCAAGGTATCCAGTAGGCAATGAGGAGATAGTCTGGGGCCTATATTAAGTGTAATGTTGAATAAGAATAAGTGCTGAGTTTCAAATGCCAAGCTCTGAGTTATAAATGTAATCAATACTTCTAGCAAGGAAGCAAAGCTACTCCTATATCCTCTTTTTTTTTTTTTTTTTTTTTTAAGAGAGAGAGATTGAGTGCTTGCGAGCAGGGGAGGGATAGGGAGAGAGGGAGACAGAGGATCTGAAGCGGGCTCTGTGCTGACAGCAGAGAGCCCAATGCTGGAATCAAACTCACAAATGGAACGTGAGATCATGACCTGAGCCAAAGTCTGACGCTAATTACTAGCACACAGCTTCAGGAGAAGAGAGAGAGTAACAGACCACCTACTGACCACTCCAGTAGGCCAAATAAACCTAGCAGTATTGAGCCAGGGCTGCTTGACAGCTAGGGTTCATTCAGGCTCTCATAGACAGTGAGTAGCATGATCTGACCTTGGTTTCAGCAATACATCGGATGGCTGTCTGACACCTGCATTAGAAAGGAGAGGTCAGAGACAAAGAAGACAGGAAATGATGAGGTCCTGCACTGGGAAAATGGAAAATGGAACAGAAAGATTAGGGTAATGAACACATTTCAGGGAACTTAAAGACACCTGGCTTGGGAAGAGAAGTCTGAGCTAATTCTGAATTTCCTAGTCCGAGATGGAGGTGCCACATCTCAGGACTCAGGATGTCCCTTCCTGAGATAAAAACACTGGAAAGATAAACAAATGGGGAGGGAGGAATATGAGTTATTTGAGATATGTGAGGTCTGAGGTGCTGCTTGCAATGTCCAGGAGATAGCCAGAGATTGGTTCTACAGTTTGGGAGAGAGAATCAGACTGAAGACAACGTCGGAGGTTGGATGAGGTCACTTCAGTGAGAAGAGAATAGGCTCAAGAACAGATCATGGGAGAATATCAACATTCAGGTTAGAGAAAGGGTTGGAAGAGAAGAGACCAGAGATGCAGAAAAAAATCTAGAAGACAAAACTCTGAAGCCCAGGGGAATCACGCGGAGGACATTATACATAGTAGAGCCCAAGAGCTGCAATGAAATCCTTTGGGGTCAGACATGGGAGAAGGGGATCCAGTGGGACACTTAGGCAAAGTCATTGCAGAGGAGGACCTGGAAATAGCTGGATGTGAAGGACTGAGGGCGCGGTAAGGAACCAGGCTGGAAGTATGCCACCAGATGCCACTGGACTTTCAGTTTTTCAGCATAATTTGTAATATTATGACTACAGTTATTTTCCTGCCACTAATTTTCTTGCACATGGTGAATTGTTCTCTGGCATCACTTTAATCGTTATATATGTTTGCAAAGAAACCAAAACTAGTAGAGCCACAGGGAATAACTGAGTGGCGGGAAAGCCTTTTACCAGAGAATTGGTCATTTTTAATTCAAATCATTTAATATATATGTTGTTGAAACTCAGTGTCTATTATTGGAAACTGAATATTTGTGGGTAAATGGAAATTTGCATTTTAGCTTTGAACGTTGTTTTGATTTCAGAACTAGGTTAAGGAATTTGTGTGTGTATGTGTATTTCATGAAAATTATAAATTTTGTGTTTTCCAATAGTTGATTAAGCTCTCTTAATGAGTTCTGCTTTCAGTTGCATGCCTGTGAGTCTTCCAGAAAAATACTTTTGTTTCACAACCTCTGGGAATACCATGCTGTTGCAGAATATGAGATTTTAGAGGCCGAAACTAACCTGGTAGAAATTCAAATCCATCTTTTATCTTTTAGATAAAAGCCTTTGAAATCCTTTTAGTGTGAAGTTATCAGCAGGCTTGAGTCTCATATAACCTCATTACTAACCCAAGGATTATTCGGGATGCATGGAGAGCAATGCTCAGTGGCTGAAACTCCTTTTTTTTTTATCAATTCTACAGCCCAGTGATAAGCCACATGTGGTCCACCTCGTTCTGCTTGGGAAATGCTGCCTGCTTGCCTTGGAGATCACAATACACATTCAAGGCTCTCCTAAGTTGTGCTCTAAAGAAACCTGTTCAACTTTATTTGAATATTTTCAAAACTTATTTAACTACAGAACCTTGTTTTACATTAACATTTCATAACTCACCCAGGGGTTTTGTAAGATAAGAAGTGGGATGGGTACTTCTAAGAGACTGACACTTCGGATCTGAGGTTGCTGCTGCTGGAAATAATGGGATTTTCTCAAAATATCTTTGTTTTGAGGGTCAGATTTAGTGAGTGCAAGACAATTTTTATCCAGCCTCATCACTCATCATTTTTGTTCCTCCCCCCCGACCCAGGATTTTAAGAATGAGCTTAGTAAGTACTGGACTTTGGCATATCTTCCTCATTAGTTGTTATCTGTGCAGTGGAATAAATTTGCAATTAATAAATTAAAAGAGAGTTTGTTATGGGCATAAAAGTAAGAACAATAAGTAGTTACATCAAGTTCACCAATTGTTACTCAAAGCTTACTGAAGATAAGAGAATTTAATACTTGGGGGACAAACCTGATTTCCAAAGCTGAAACCATATAATGATTTACTTATTCCATAAATGTATGATCTTATCTGCTCCAATTTACATTTGGAGCAGTTAAACCTCTGGCATCTGCTCCTGGTTCTGTATGAAGAGGAGACAGGAGATAAGAACATTCCTGTCTTTATTGCTTTTTTGAGCATCTCAAGGTGGGATGCAGTGGGAAAGGGGTACCTGTCATGGCCATAAGTGTCCAAGTCTGCTATCAAAGAAGTAAACCAGTCTTCTTTGGGAAATGTGGTAAATCCCTCAGGCCACTGGCCTCCATTTGTTAAAACCTGTCACAGGCTTAAAATCTTTTTTTAAAAATCAGAGGAGAGCTGCCACCTGCTTCCCATCAGAAAAACAATCACTCGAATTCTAAAATATTTTAGGGCTTTGGGAGAATCATTTCCAGGTGCAAAATTGTCAACTTTTCCTGTGAGTTCATAGGGTGGCTGTACTTACTCGACTCCCAAAGAGCTCTCCAGGACCCTGAGCTAGCTAGGACTGCCTTGACCTGATTCCCACCAATAAAATTCTGGTCAGGGTACAGTGTGGGAACAGCATTTTGGGGAGGGCATTGACCAGACTCAGCCCAAGTACACCCACCAGTAGTGTAACCATTAAGAAAATCTCTGTCCATAGTGAGACTCAATCAGAGGTCACTCAGGTTCCTGTCAGGTGGGGAGGGGGGTGTTAGGAAGATTATTAAAACCCCTGGATTTTTATGACTCTGAAGATGTGTCAGTGTGGTCTGTATTAGCTCATTCTCAGGGCCTAAAATTCTCAAGCTTTCTTCTTTGGACATTAGTACTTTGGTTAAAAGCTGCCAAAATTGTGACAGAATCTGGTGGGGGGAATTTTTATTGCCTAATAAATAATATCATAGAAGGTCATAATTCCATATTAGCCACTAAATATCCAAAATGTATAAAGCATGCAAAGTGGAATCCAAGATATGGATGAAAAACAGCTCAGTGACATTTCTTAAGAATTATTCATTCTCTTTTTCATTCTGAAAGTGGAGCAGGAACATTCTCCTAAATCCCAGGCTTAGAAAGCTGAACACTGCCTAGAGGCCTTAAAGAATTACTTTGACAAAGCCATTTTTCTTTAGTCTTTAAATTTGAAAGAGAAAAATTCTCCATGGTAGTTTGGAAGAAATCTTAAGTTTTTGGATTCCTAAGACCTGGAGGGATGTCTAGAAACTTACATCATGGTCGGTCTTCATCTGCCATTTTAGAAGACACTGAAATCATACTAGGGAGAAATGATGCCCTTCCATTTCGGAACACCTTCATTATTGAGTTAGTTTTCTTCTGTAATAAATTCCAAGATCTAGCTATGCTCATTGTCAAGAAGTTCTTTCTTTTGGATAAAGTCATTTTCTGAAGATAAAATGAATTGGTTTTTAATTATTCAGCCCTTACTTGGGAATAGCTGTTTCCAAAGCACGCACACACACACGCACACACACATGTGCCTCTGCTATAGTCTTTTAACTCTTTGAAGACCATTGTTACCTGCCTAACTTTTTGTTTTTAAACCCTGTGTTCTTTGAACTTTTTCATCCCTTTATCTTCCCCCAAATTTCTGATTCTCATATCCTAATCGTCCCTCCAGACCTCTCCTTCCCTAAAAATAAAAAGCAATACAGTGGCAAAATTTGTTGAAAGGCAAAGAGTCATACCACCATATCTTGGTTTATGGGGATGACGACGGGCCAAGAGACCAATATTCTTCAGAAGGCTCTCTTCCTACCATGGCGAAGCGCATCTCTCCAAGGACGTCTTTGAGATTGGACGTAAACTCTACACAGTGTACATCTCATGTGCTGTTAAATCTCTTCAGGACTTGTAATGTTGACCCTTCTGTTGTTTCGCTTCCAGGCAGGTTGGGTTAACATTTCCCATCTCAATTGAAACATATTTTTTCTCTGTTGACAGAGACCAGATACTGCTACACTCAGCATACAATGGAAGTCACAGGAAACAGCATCTCTGTCACCAAACGCTGCGTTCCACTGGAAGAGTGCTTGTCCACTGGCTGCAGAGATTCTGAGCATGAAGGCCACAAGGTGTGGGCAACAAAGCAAGTGACCGGTACAGCATAGTTAGTCTTCCTCCACCACAGATGTGCGCCCATGCTCATGAGCCAATTCCCACTCCCTGGTGTAACCTGGCTTTTGAGTACTTTTATACCATTATGAGAAGATTCTCCTTTCCTGTTTGCTCTAAAAGAATAAAAGTGTACAGCAGAGCATAGGAAAACCGGTTTAATTATGTAAACACAACACCAAGAGGATATTGAAAGTTGTAATCCCTTCCTTTCCTCAGAAGAAAGTAGTAAAGCCACTGGAAGGAAGAGGAATGAGGGATCAGTTACATCCTCACGATAAAGCATTGCAGATGTAGCAACAATTCATTCAGCTGAGGATGGCCACGGCAGTTGAGCATCAATAATTATCTGTGAAGTGAGGCTCATGTCTTTATTGGAATGCTGATTTGGGGACGGTATCCATTGGCTCCTGAATAATTTGATTAGGTGATCAGAGAACCATCTCCTTGTGGGTTGGCTCCCTCTTAAACTCTATCTGGTGCCTATATGGAAGCACTCAGTATAAAGTGAACTTCAAGTGCAGCCCTGAAGGAGAATATAAAGAACCAGAGAAATGCAGCCTGACTTGTGGTTGGAGTGGAGAATGCCCCCGACTCTCCTGCTGATGGTTCAGAGCTGGCTCCACATATAATCTTGTATATCAGGCAGGCCTTGGCCTTTATTTGGAGTTAGCTCACTTCTCCCCATCAGGCTGCCTTCCTGGTGTCAGAAGCAACTTCTACTCTCAGTACCCTGGAGCGGCACGTTTAGTAGGGGCTTCAAGAAGACACCTAATTTTCAAGCAACTTGTGAAATACAGTAAGAATTAAATTTTAAAATATAGTATACCAACTTGATCCTGGTTTGAAATATAAAAGCTATGTTCAAGGGTTTTACCTACCTCTCACCCCACTCCCAGAAAGCTAGGCTCTCAGGCCTTATTGTGCTGCTTTACCATGGATCAAGTTAAAGATCAGAGAAGTAACATCATGTGCAAAGGTCACACAGCTGGTAATTCTGTCTGACAGAATTAAAACTCACTTCTGACCTTCAGTTTCTCTCCTCAACATTATAATGTCTCCCTAGCCCATGTCAACTGTGACAAGACTCAAATCCCTGCAAGATAATGACTGAATAGGATATTTGCCATCAGACAATTTTTCAAATATTATGGTGCATATGGGCCACTCGAGGATCTTGTTAAAATGCAGATTCTGATTCACTAAATTTGGGGCAAGGTTTGAGATTCTGCATTTCTAATGGGCTCCAGGTGATGTGGAAGCTGCTAATCTGTACTTTGTGTAGCCATGGCCCCAAGCAATTCTGTCAACAATCCTTTAGATTTCTTTCTTTCTTATGGTCCATGAATAAAGTTGGATAAAGCAGGAGTAATTGCATTAATGCAAACCCTTCAAACTTTAACTCGCCCACAAGAATGGTGATAATTATATGGACAGTTCTAATGAAAGCAAATAGTTCAGTTTAAGTTGGGTTGTTTCCACTTCATGTACACTGTGAAAATTTGGCAAGTGAAAGTTTACCCTCTGAACAGCTTTCCCAAGTAGTCAGAAAGGGTTTCTTTGAGATAGGAGGGTATTAGAATCCCCATTACCCAGATGGAAAAGCTGAGACCTAGGAAGGTTATAAAACCATGTAATAAGCATGTGATGGGATGTCAAAAGCAGAACTCATGTTCCTGGAAGCTGAGTCCAGGGTTTTTTTTTTTTTTTTTTTTGGCCACATTGCTTCCAGATGAAATCTCATCCCACTTCCTTAAATGCAGGGTCGGTGCCTCTTTTGTAGAACAGGTCACTTTCATTTCAGTCTTACAGTGAGGGAGACAGTTCCTTCCAAATTCCCTGCCTCCTTCCAAGATCTGCTAGCTTCTCATCACCCTTCTGTTTCTCTTCCTTTCTTTCAGGTCTGCACTTCCTGTTGTGAAGGAAATATCTGTAACTTGCCACTCCCCCGAAATGAAACCGATGCCACATTTGCCACAACATCACCCATAAATCAGACAAATGGGCACCCACACTGCATGTCAGTGATCGTGTCCTGCTTGTGGGTGTGGTTGGGACTCACATTATAGCAGCTCAAAGACACCATGTATAGTAGCAATCCATGGGGATCTCCATGGTCCATAGTCATGCATGAGTCGTTGGCTTGACAATAGTTACACATGGGAAACCACAACACTCACAGATGTCTTCACAGCCAAGCATCGCCATTTACCATGAGGAACAAGCGTTGTGTCAGTGTAGTCATTTCAAGTCCAAGACCTCATCAAAGCCAGCCTGCCCCCAAAATAGACCCTGAGTTGTATACCACGAACCTTTCTTTTCGCTCCAGGAAATAGTTCTGCATTTATTGATGTCTGAGTCTCTTTATTTGGAATACATGCATGAGCCACAAGAGGTCCTGGGACCCTTGAGATGTTAGATGATATGTTATGTGGACATGCATAGATGTGTGTGCTTCAGGAAAAAGGTAAAGACCACTGGTTTGGATATGACTTTATTTATAGCTTTAGAATTTTAAAACTTTGATTCCAAAAGGAACAGACTGTTTCCTTGGAGACTCTGACTGAGTCCCTAAAAAAGTAGTATGCAGTTGTCCAATTTAATTTTCCCAACATTTTTCTCCCAGTGGTGGGAATCCTATTCCCTCTTCTCTCTGTGGGAAATAAAAGGCAATCATAAATTTGTTGTATAGGGGGAGGGCTAGCTGGAGAAAGATTTTTCCCAACTTAATGGAACTATTATCCATAAAGTACCTTGCATAGCCTTGCATTAAAATTGGTGAGATTGACCTTGATTGGGCACCTCATTGTGCTCCATGAGATCCTGGGTTCTACCTGGGCCAAAGGGTATCCAAAGAGTCCCAAAGCAGGATGGAGTTTTCTCCAGTCATGGGTCTATTCAGGCATAGATAATCTAAGGAGAGAGAGGATATCAGAATGAAAAGAAAGAGACATGTGCAGGTTGACCCGAGTTCACTGCGAGGGCCCAATCAGTAGCTTAGTCAGATTGTCCTTCTGCACTTCATACTGCCAGAGAGCCCTCGGGGTTCTTCCTCTTTCAAATCCTCAGTGACTTTAGGGAGAAGGTTCTACACTACATTATATCAAGACTGATAGGGAAGGAAGACATAATATCCTAGAATGAGAAGGAGGTAAGCCAGTTGGGTGATGGTGAGACTAGTAAGGAGACCCAGGGGGAGTTTTTCTTTTAGGTGATTGCTTTTGAAGTAGATGGTAAAATTTTTGCCATCCTTCCTGTATTTTTTGGCCTGAGTTACAACTTTTTCTTCTTCCTTGTAAATCATTTATACAATATTTATTTTTGTATGGGGTAACTAGAAACTAAAATATATTGTAAAATATTCTTTATTCTAAACAAAATGACTGAATTAGAATACTTATTTTTCAACAGTGGTAGAGCCTGTAATATATGTTTGTTGAAGGTTATCTATAATACTTGCACCAGTGTTGAAAAATATTAACTTATGTTTGAGCAAGAGTAATGTGTTGGCCTCAAGGGTTTCACTCATTGTTTCGTCAGTGGTGTTGTCCGAGAAATGTTCAGGTGGTGACGATCACTGGTATGAGTTTCTCTGCAGGGTTATGGGGCATATTTTCATGAAATTTGGTGGAGCCATTGCTGATAAACAGGAGAGCATTGTCAGGGTCCATCTGCCCTGCACTGGAAAATGTCTGTGGCTCATAAAAAAATGAGGCCCCCTCAGGGATTACCAAATATGAACTGAGAGCGGTAACTCTGATACAAAATAATCTAAATTGCATCAAATGGCCTTAAATCAGAGTTTGGTAGGCTTATCAATACTTTGCTTATAACTGGGGTGAGAGAAGTAGAGGGAGAGAAAGCAAGATATTTACTAAGCACCTCTTATGTGGCAGGCACTATGCTAAGCACTTTATATATGTATGTATGTATTAAGTCCTGTAAAACCTGCAAGCACCCTGAAAGGAATATTACTAGTATTTTCACTTTACAGATGAAGGTACTAAGGCTCTAAGAAGCTCAATAACATGAAGCCTTTTCCTCCCTATTTAAGTTATATAGGTTGAGATGGGATTGAAGAGTGCAGGGACAATAGAATTACCACCCCTAGGAAAACTTCCAGACCTGACCATGGGAATTTGACCCTCTGATCATGTGGAGTTTGTCTAGTCCTGCCTCTGCAGGATGCCATTTGTGTGGGTCCCCTAGATGGTGTTTTTTCTTTAAGGGGTGGAGGTACAGCTTCCTAGTTCATTCCTCTTGCTAAAAGAGGTAACAGGTCAATTGCTATAATTGCTAGAAATGCTTTAAGACAGTGAAAACTTGATGTTGTACATATCTACAAGTACCATTTTTTGTGCATGGCCACTCTCCACTGATACCTGCCAAGTACTGCATGCAATTTGAGTGAGAGAATCCAAATGCTGGTTCTTAATCATAAAGCGACCACTCCAGAGCTTCCCTGTCTGGTGTGCAGGGACCAAGTCCACAGTGATGTGAACTCATCTGCCACCCGGGGGATCACTGCAAACTCTACACAGATTTGACTGCATGCACCTTGAGTGCCTGTCAGAATGGCTGACGTTTCATTCTCTTGAAAGAAAGTGGTTGGCTCACCTTCCCCAGCCTCAAGAAGCCAAGGAAGGGCCATTCGTGTGGAAGGCCCAGGACTGGTCATCCATCTGACTTTTATACCACATTAAACTTTCCCTCAAATCCCACCATTGGTGACGGCTTGAAGTGCAAACAGCCATGATGTATACATTAACCTATGTGCCACTTATTTATTTTCAGACTCCCCATAGCATTCATGTCAATAGAGATTAATGCCTAAATTTTGTAAATATTGTACATTTTGTAAATCAATGAATAAAGGTTTTAAGTGTATCTCATCAGGCTCCTCCCTGTAAATGTACATGTCAATCAATGATTAAGGCATTCAGGTTATGTATAAGGTGTAGGGCTTAGGATCACAGGGAACTTCCTTCCAAGAGCACATTTTCTCGTTGTACAGACAAGACATACACGCATGAAAAGATACAAGACAATTCACTCATGCCAAATGATTCATGTAGACAGTAAGTGCTGCAGAAAATCAAAGAGGGAAAGATTACCAGACTTTTTAATCAGGTCTACAGTTTCCCTAGAGTGTTTTCTTTGTTAAATCAGGAAAAATAAATGTGTGTGTGTGTGTGTGTGTGTGTGTGTGTGTGTGTGTATCTAAATACTACCCCATTAACTCTTAATTTTTAAATCTCATTTTGTTCTGTTAGTGATGATCCAATAGAAAGTGTTTTTCCTTGATGGTTTCTTCTGCAACAAGAAACAAACATTTGAATAGTATAAATGTTTATCTATACAGTGAATTTATTTTATTTTTCCTAGTAAAATTATAGATACTGAAAGTGGTCTTAGAAATCTTCAGCTTGTTTGTGGTCTCTGGTTATTCTATTCTATTTATTTCTTTATTTATTTACTTATTTATTTATCTATTTATATTTTTTAATTGAGGCATGTTGACATATATCATTTTATTAGTTTCATGTGTGAAACATAATGATTTGACATTTGTATACATTGTGCAATGGCCACCATAATTCTAGTCAATATCTATTGCCTTACATAGTTCTAAATGTTTTTTCTTCTGATAAGAACCTTTAAGATTTACTCTCTTAGTATCTTTCAAATATGCAGTACAGTATTATTAACTATAGTCACTATGCTGTACAATCCCATGACTTTGTTTTTTGTAACTAGAAGCTTGACCTTTAGACCGCCTTCACCCATTTCTTCCCTGCTCCTCCACCTTTGGCAACCACCAATCTATTCTCTGTATCTATGAGCTTGCATTTTTTTTATTTGTTTTATTTTTTTTAATTTGTTTTTCAGATTCCACATATAAGTGAAATCATCTAGTATTTGTCTTTCTCTGACTTATTTCACTTAGCATAATACCCTCAAGTTCCTTTCATGTTGTCACACATAGCAACATTTTTTATGGGTGTCCTTATTTTTCAGTGGGTGCATAATACCACATTATACACACACACACACACACACACACACATCTTCTTTACTCAGTTATGCATTAATGGACACTGAAGTTGTTTCCATATTTTAGCTATTATAAATAAAGCTTCAATTATCATGGCAGGGGGCACATAGATCTTTTGGAAATAGTGTTTTTATTTTCTTTGGGTAAATACCCAGCAGTGGAATTGCTGTATCATGTAGTTGTATTTTTAATTTTTTTGAGGAACCTCCATACCGTTTTCCATGATGGCTGCACCAGTTTATATTCCCACCAACAGTGCACAAGTGTTTGCTTTTCTCTGCATCCTCACCAACATGTGTTATTTCTTGTCTTTTTTATAATAGCCATTCTGAGAGTTGCCAAATTGGTATCTCATTGTAGTTTTGACTTGCATTTCCCTGATGATTAGTGATGTTGAGCATCTTTTCATGTGTCTGTTGGTCATCTGTATATTTTTTATGTAATCATGTCTATTCAAGTCCTGTGCCCAATTTTTAATCAGATTGTTTTTTTGGCGTCAAGTTGTACACGTTATTTATATGTTTTGGATATTAACATCCATTATTGGAAATACCATTTGCAAATAGCTTCTCCCATTCCATAGGCTGCCTTTTCATATGTTGATGGCTTTGTTCACTGTGCAGATGCTTCTTAGCTCGAAGTAGTCCCTACTGTTTATTTTTGCTTTTGTTGCCCTTGCCTGAAGAGATGGTTCCAAAAATTTATTGTTCAGACTGATGTCCAAGAGTTTATTGCCTATGTTTCCTTTTAGTTTTATGGTTGGGGCCTTACATTTAGTTATTTAATCCATTTTGAGTTTATTTTTGTGTAGGGAGTGAGACTGTGGTCTAGCTCTATTCTTCGGCATATAGCTGTCCAGTTTTCCTAGCACCATTAACTGAAGAGACTGTCTATTCTCCATAATATATTCTTGCCTCCTTTCTTATAGATTAATTGACCATATAAGCATGCATTTATTTCTGGGCTCTCTGTTCTGTTCCATTGATTTATGTGTGTATTTTTATGCCAAAACTACACCATTTTGATTACTATAGCTTTGAAATCAGGGGCATGATGTCTCCAACTTTGTTCTTCTTTCTCAAAATTGCTTTTACTGTTGAAGGTCTTTTGTAGTTCCATACAAATTTTAGGATTGTATGTTTTATTTCTATGAAAAAGGTCATTGGAGTTTTGATAGAGATTGCATTGACTCTGTAGATTGCTTTGGGTAGTATAGACATTTCAACATTGTTAATTTTTCCAATTCATGAGCACAGAATATCTTTCCTTTTCTGTGTGTCTTTAATTTCTTTTATTAATGTTTTGTAGTTTTCTTTTTTTTTATGTCTTATAGTTTTATGTGTAGGTCTTTCACCTCTTTGATTAAGTTTATTCCTAAGTATTTTATTCTTTTTGATGCAATTGTAAGTGGGATTGTTTTCTTAATTTCTCTTTCTGATAGTTCATTATTAGTGTATAGAAATGTAATGGGGCGGTGGGGGGGGTGGGGTGGGGGCGGCGCCTGGGTGGCTTAGTCGGTTGGGCGTCTAACTTCGGCTCAGGTCATGATCCCATGGTTTGTGAATTGAGACCCCACATCAGGCTCTGTGCTGACAGAGCCTGCTTTGGATTATGTGTCTCCCTCTCTCTCTGCCCCTCTCCATTCATGCTGTGTATCTCTCTCCTTCAGATATAAATAAACATTAAAAAAAGAAAGAAAGAAATGTAATAGGGATGCCTGGGTGGCTCAGTTGGTTAAGCATCCAACTCTTGATTTCAACTCAGGTCATAACCTCACGGTTTGTGGGTTCAAGCCCCGTGTTGGGCTCTGTGCTGACAGTGTGGAGCCTGTTTGGGATTTCCTCTCCCCCGCTGTCTCTTCTTCTCCCCGCTTATGCTCTCTCTCAAAATAGATAAATAAAATTTTTTAAAAATTAAGAAAAATAAATGTAACAGATTTTTGTATATTGATTTTGTATCCTGCAGCTTCACTGAAAATTGTTTTATTAGTTTTTTGGTGAAGTCTTCAGGGTTTTCTATATAGTATCATGTCATCTGCAAATAGTGACAGTTTTACTTCTTCCTAACCAATTTGGGTGGCTTTTATTTCTTTATCTTGCCTAATTGCTCTAGCCTGGACTCCCAGTACTGTGTTGAATAAAAATGGGGAGAGTGTACACCCTTGTCTTGTTCCTGATCTTAGAGGCTCAGGTTTCAGCTCTTCAACAGTCAGTATAATTTTAGCTATGAGCTTGTCATATACAGCCTTCATTATATCAAATTACATTCCTTCTCTACACACTTCGTTGAGAGTTTTTATCAAAGAGAGATGTTGAATTTTGTCAAAAGCTTTTTCTGTATCTGTTGAGATGATCGTATGATTTTTGTTGTTTATTTTGTTAATGTGGGGCCTCATATTGGTTGGTTTGTGGATGTTGATCCATTCCTGCATCCCCGGAATAAATCCCACTTGATACTGGTATGTGATCCTTTTAATGTATTGTTGAGTTTGGTTTGCTAATATTTTGTTGAGGACTTTTGCATCTTTGTTCATCAAAGAAATTGGCCTATAATTTTATCTTCTTGTGGTGTCCTGGTCTGAATCTGATATCAGGGTAAGGCTGGCCTCATAAAATGAATTTGGAAGCATTTCTTCTGTTTTTTATAAGAGTTTGAGAAGGATTGGTATCAGTTCCTCTTTGAATATTTGATAGAATTCACCAGTGAAATCATCTGGTCCTAAACTTTTGTTTGTTGGTAGGTTTCTGATTTCTTATTTAATCTCCTTACTATTAATCATTCTGTTCAGATTTTCTCTACATTTATGATATAGTCTCACTAGGTTATATGTTTCTAGTAATTTATCTATTTCTTCTAGATTGTCAAATTTGTTGGTGTATAATTATTCATAGTAGTCTCTTATGGCCCTTTGTATTTCTGTGATATTAGCTATAATTTCTCCTCTTCATTTCTGATTTCATTTATTCGAATCCTCTCTTTTTTCCTTGGTGAGTCTAGCTAAAGTTTTGTCAGTTTTGTTTATCTTTTCAAAGAACAGCTTTTGAGTTCCATTAATTTGTTCTATTGTCTTGTTAGTCTCAATTTCATTTATTTCTCACTGATCTTTGTTATTTCCTTCCTTTTACTGACTTTGGCTTTTTGTTTGTTTTGTTTTGTTTTTGTTTCTTCTTTTTCTAGTTCCTTGAGGTACAAGATTAGGGTTTTTTTATTTTTTGTTTTTTCTTGTTTCTTGAGGTAGGTAGGCTTTTATTTCTGTGAGTATCCCTCTTCAAAATAATTTTCTACATCCCATAAATTTTGGCTATATTTCCATTTTAATTTGACTTAAAGTATTTCTGATTTCTCTTGTGATTCCACCTTTGGCACATTGGTTGCCCAGTAGCATGTGGTTATTTATCTCTACATTTTTGTGGCCTTTCAAGGTTTCTTCTTGTAATTGATTTCTAGCACTATAATTGGAAAAAAATACTCGATATGATTTCAATCTTCTTCACTTATTAAGACTTTCTTTGTGACCTAACATATGATATATCCTGGAGAATGTTCCATGTGCACTTGAGAAGAATGTGTTTTCTATTGCTTTTGGATGGAATGTTCTGGATATATCTGTTAAGTCCATCTTGTCTAATGTGTTGTTTAAGGCCAATGTTTTCTTGTTGATTTTCTGTCTGAGTAACTATCCATTGATTTAAGTTGAGTATATTAAAGCCCCCCTACTATTACTATATTGCTGTATAATTGTTTCTTTAGATCTATTAATATTTGCTTTATGTATATATAAGTGCTTCTATGTTGAGTGCATAATTATTTACAAATGTCATATCCTTTTGTT